GAGGCGAGAAAAGAGAGCCTGTTCGACCGCTCGTTCGCAAGCCAGATAGCAGTACAGAGGAGAGAGAGTTTGTCCCTTGCCTGCACGTGCCTGGGATGCACGACTTGCGAGCTGTGTCGCGCATGATGGGACCGCTGAACATCTGCTGCCTGCCAGGCTTGCGAGTGTGTGAGTGTGTGTCAGACCGAATACTGAGCGCCGAGAGCTGCGAAGCGAGCAGATCGGAAGCGTGGTCGTGCAGTCATGAGTCATGAGAGTCATGATGATTCCGAGGTTGCACTTTCTGGTTCTGCTGCATGCGTCTCAGATTTGCATCGTGCTTGTCGCACAGGTGCTGTGGTCAGTCACGAAAGCTAGCTCCTCTGGAGCCTGTGCGAGTTGCTGTTTACACAGTTGGGTTGGGTCAAACGAGACTTCCGGGGTCCTTGGCCCCCTGATACACCAGGGATGACTGAAATCGTCAGCAGGGAGCACCCCCCCACTCCCTTCATTCCTTGATCGATCAGGAAGGGCAGGAGAGGGGCTAGCTTGAGGCCAACACACCCCTTTACCCTCGGCAGAGCCGCTAGCCTGGGTTTTATGAGCCAGTTCATAACAGCATATAAGGAGCACTGCATCATTTACGACCAGCATCTGCACGCCTTTGCAATCAAACACTGCCACTTCCCTCCCACTAGCAGTCGTCCGCTCTGCTCTCAGTTTGATTTTCATCGCAAGCTGCATAGCTAAGGTCAGGGGTGCAAAAAGGTTTACTGCCCACACCGCAGCTCAGACGAGACGATCAAGGCGAGGCAGAGGTAATCCAAAATCGGGGTATGCAGGGGCATCGGAATCAGTCTGGAAGGGGCCCTCGTTTTGGGATGTGCTTTAGCCTTGCACCTACGACTTGCACTCTCCACTTGGTGTCGGGGCCACGCAAGTTGGCATTCGTTCTTCGCTGCTGTGCTACCTGTAAAAAGCTTCAAAGGCCGCCCTCCGCCCTTCGGGGAGGTCAAAGGGCTCACAGGGTCAAGTGCAGCGAATGGGCTCTTCAGGTTTCCACAGTCCAGACTTGACGAGACCTTGTGCTGCATAAAGCCGGAATCAGATACCAACCAGTTGATTCCATGTCATCTTGTTTGCAGCTTTGCCTAAGCGGGACAACACATGCACGAGAAATGGCGAAGTCATCAACCAAACTAGGATGTGCATTCAGAAGCCTGCAGTGACTGCTGAACGGTGGAATAAACATGTTTTCATCCGCCTGCATGGCAGGTCAAGAAAAGCTGCTGCAACATCCTCTGACTCGCCCTGGCTGGTCCTCAGTCGTGAGTATGCTAGCTACGGCTTTAGGCTGCCTACTGGTACATGGCCCGTTTGTGAGGAATGACTAAGTGCGCGTGTGTTCGTGTTCGCGATCGAAGCGCAGCTGTCGCACAAAACGCGCGGCGTTGCTGCAGCTCGAGTTTCACTTTTCCGGCTCCCTTGTTTCAACGTGTGCCGGCGAGTGCAAAAGGAGTCTAGTCTAGTAAGTCTGAGGCAGTCCACATCGAGCCTTGCCATCACAGATGTTGCTCCTAGGCGCATATGTCTGCAAACGCTCTCACTTTCGTCGACCCTACGCAAAGCATCTTAAGAACATATGAAGCTTGCTGTCCGACTCCTACCAGCCCAGCCCTTGTCGGCCTGCAAAGATCATCAACGATCCACCACACGATGGCAAGTTGAACCGCTTGAACCCACACCCAATGCAGGAAGGCCGCGGCTGAAATATCAGCATAGTAACGAGCTACAGAACAAGCAAGTTCGTGCTCACAGACGTGCTGAGACAATGTGCCTAGTAGCTTAGGGAGGTGCTGCGCAAGCTTCAAAGAACCAAACAGCCGCATGAGAATGCAGCTTGTTTGGCTCAAACCCCTACCGTGGAGCTGGAAGACAGTGGGATCTTGCGCATCCTTCTTGCAGCAGCAAGCAATGGTCAGGGTATGACAGGAAGTTTCTGTGCAGAACCATGTGTAAGCGGCCGCAAAAACAACCTATAACCACGCATGGATATGCCAGGACCAAGTCGGCAAGTTCTGCTCGTCAGACATGGGCAGAGCTTGTGTCTTGGCTGCGAGATGTCTAGGTTGCCGTTCTGTGGAGGCAGGATTGCATGTACGCTCGTGACGCAGGCACAATGCTGACAAGGGATCTGCGGGCATCGATCCGGCATTGAGCGACTCCGGGCTGGTTCAATCGTTGCGAAACTTGGCGAAACAGCGTTGCTTTCTGTGGATCGATGCAGAGCTTGGGTGGAGCCTCCGCAGCTTGTTGCTCCGGAAGCATGCGCTGAGCAGCGGTACTAAATGATTTTGCCGATCATCAATCTAGTGCTGACAAGACAGGTCTGCATGGCCTTCCCATTTTCTCAGATTGCGAACTCTTGGTCGTCTCGCCTTTGAGCCACGAAGCTGCAGAGAGCTCTGGCTGCATCGCACGTTTCATCGGTGCAACTGATGAGGTCGGGCCGTGCAGACCGCAGCAGCAGCATTTGGGGAACACCCGGGTTGCCGGACGGTCTTGACTCCCTTGCACACCGAGAGAAGCTTTGCAAGCACGTGGTAGAACTTGTTGACGGCTCTTGTTCAAACAAATCAGCTTGACCACAATCCAACCAACACGGCAGAATCTGGCACGCATAAACTCAGACAGAAGAGACGGGGCCGGACACGGGAATGGTCACGATTAGAGGTGCGAGTCGTTCCGCTGCTGCTCATGTGAATCGATGAAGCTGCAGTGCAGACCTTTTCGATGCTTTGCCCGCGTCAGATCATGTCAGATCATTTTTGCACACCGCCACACGATCTGGGTGACAACATTTCAGAAACCGAAATTTCCGGTGTGACGCAGCCTTCGATGTGGAAGGTCCACTGAAGCCCCTGTCCCTCCTCTGAACTTTGGTCGTATTCAACTCTGGAGTCAGGGCTGACTCAGCGCGCGTAGTTTCCCACCGCCCAGACCGGTGCCGTGAGCCAGGCGCCAAACGGACCGGGGTGGCGACTAGCCTTTCGCCCGAAGAGTTGCCGGCACTGTGAGAAGTCGTCGTCGTCACGCAGTCCGAGACATTTCAAGCTGCCGATGGGATTGTTTTTAGATCCTGGTTGACGGTTCCATTTGTCAGCCATGAAGTCACTACTGATGCTACAGTGCTACAACTCAACATATTTCAAGAACTCGTTCCTTCTTCGCAAGAAGCCCCGACCGTCCCAGAGCCAACACAAACTGCTTGCTTTATTCTTCACTCGAGGGACAGCAGTGCATCTGGAACCGTGCCCTGACAGCAAATGTTTTGGACCAATTTTGCTTGCATGCCATCGACTTATCGATTCCGCATGGTTTTCCGTACATCTTGGTGTTTCCGCTCTTCGCAAGGAGCGGCCCATGCTCCACCCGTGAAGTTGGCCTGCTGGGCCTTGGGCTTTCCCACGTTGGGTGCGAATCAACTCCGGACGCAACAGATCGAGTTTTACCCGATCTGCCCGGCATCGCACACGAACGCTGTGCACGGATGGCAGCACCGCACCACCTGAGCCTGCCTTGAGCGTGCGCTCGAGATGCGTCGTTTTGACCTTGCCCAGCGTCTCGAGCCCTGGGCCTTCAGTTCTAACCACCGACCTGAATCTTGTGCTGACTGGTCTGGCGTGTGCATATTTGTTGCATTTCGTTGCCAGATGCATCCAGATGCTGTTGGGGGTGAATTGCTCTCTTGGTTAGTAATGTTTCGGCACGACATAAACGCGTCGAGGCGAATCCACGCCGACCATGCGCTGTGCACTTCGAGTGCGGCACAGGTTGCTTTGCCGGAGAGCACCAACTGCCAACACCATTCCGGCAGCGATGGTGTGCATGGTTGACCAAAGCTTGAGATGCCAAGTATTGCGCCACGCGGCCTGCATACCTTGTCATGAGCGACACCCTTGCCGGCGAGCTGGTGCAGGACGTTGTCTTGTTGCTCGCGTGTCCCCGGCCGATTGCTCGGCAGGCCCGCGCCCGCAACAGATCCCGCACAACTGGCACCGCGCTTCCAGGCCAATCTCCGAGCCCAGCACAAGCAGATGTTGTGGTCCGGCTCCACGCTCCGCCTGCCTTCGGCACCGGATCGAGAAGCTTGCAACACGAAGGTGAACGCGCGGCGCATGCGCGCCGGCGCCTGGAAACGAGTCACATTGCGGATCATTGCGGAACGACCGGAATGGAGTTGCGAAGTTTCGTCGTGAAGGACAACCCTATATACCCAGCCTTGCCAATTCGCGCAACCGGGGATGCGAGCTCCCTTTCCAGAGGGATGACCGCATCGCAAGCGCTGCCGAAGCAGCTGTTGTGTGGTCCGCAACCGCATGCAACTGCATCGCTGGCTAAAGATGCGCTTGCCGTGCTCTCCTCGCTGCGTGGCAACGGCAAAGAAGGTCATCATCTGCGCGACTGGGCGATCCCGCGGCATCGAATGTGGACCCGCGTGCTGCGAAGAGACCTGGGAAGTGATGCGCCCGCGCCGCTGGTTCCCGTTCGGCCACGGGATGCAGTTTCGCAGGCAGGTCCGCGACTGCTGGCACGGCACGCCTGCAGACCAGCGACGCCCGCGATCTCCTCCGCCGCCTCGTTCGTGCGCGGTCTTTGCGCGCACCGCACACTGCCGCTGGCGGCGCCACTGGTGGGGGTTTTGAACTGCGCGCAGCAGCGCGCGCTGGCGTCCGAGCCATACGCTACATGTACCTTCTTTGTTGCCGTTGAGCGCTCCGTAAGCGCCTCACGTAGCGCTAGATTGGACACTCTGCGGCGGACGGAAAAAAAGGCGTGAGCCTTTCGCGCCGAGTATACGAAGTACGAAGCCTCCCGTACCCCTAGTCGCTCCAACTGTGCTCGAATCCTTGTAGCAAATGGGGGAGCACAAAAAGTGAAACCATGTCACATGGGCCAAGTTCAGATGGCTTCTGAGGGGTGCGGTTGGAAAAAATGCCGCTTATGCGCTGCATATGTGCAACTGGCGTGGGGTGCTTTTAGACCCACTATACCTGCCACATGGATCAGTGCTTGTACAAAGCCTTTCCAAAGGTCTATCTGCGCCCCACAACCTGTCCACAAGGTGCATCGGAGCCATCCAAAGGAAAACACAATTCCTTGAGGTAGGTGTATTGGAGGCAACCCAAAGGATGCACTGTGTGGATGAAACTCCCGGGGTCAAGCCGACAACATTATCTTTATCCCGCTTCCTCTGCATCACTCGCCGGGGTTGGGTCTTAGAGTTTTATCCAAGCTATGGGTTGGGATGATGGTCTGGTCTATTCCAAGGCCTTGGTTGGGGTCAGGCCGTAGAGTTTTATCCGGGAGATGTGCTTGCTTATAATTTAATAGCCACCCAACAGCCCATTAGGACCATAAGGCAGGCTTGGCAACAAGTTCGACAATGATTGGGAGTCGACTTCTGACCCTTGCTCACGCGTTTACATGGTGTTGCCGCTTGTTTCCGCTTTCCGGTCGTGACGTCCTCGTTTCGCATGAACCGGTGTGCCGCAGCTGCACCATGCTGCACGACCCCTTCGGCGACCACCTTGCAGCATGTCCTTTCCTGGCGTCCTTCGTGCGAGGAGCGGTCCCCTCAAGCGCGCAGCTGCCCGCATTTGCTGGGATGCCGGAACAGGTCCGGCTTCGGGACCTCCATGTTGATGTCGCCCGGCACAAGCCACATGGCTTGGACAGCACAGTCGGCCATCCTCGGGTCTGCGCCTCGTCGTGGACGTCGGTGTCACATCGGACATACTCGGTTAACGGGCGTGTTGGGGGAAACCGCAACAAAATAAGACTCGCTAGAGCAGCAAACGGAAAAACTAGTTGTGAGGATGCTCGCGGCGTGGTACCCTATCTGCAATTCCAGCGTGGCGAGGCTGCTGACTCACGGCGGATGGCCTGGTGGCAAACGTCATCATCTGTGCATGATGCGTGGCACGGAAAAAGTCGACGGAGTCGTCTTCAGGCAAGGCAGGCGGCGCCAGGGATGGGCCCAGCCCTCGCTTGGAATGGCGGTCAGCCATGCTCCTGCTTGCGGCTCAGCTTGTCATCGGAGGGGGGCGCTGGCGGCCGACGCAATGGAAGGTTGCAGAATTCGTTCACGAAAGTAGGCCCAAGGCCCCCCAAGGCAGCTGGAAATGTTGCCAGGTTTCTCGTGCCTAGAACGTTATCCCAGATCGAAGCATCTTGCGCCTCGGCATATGGGGCACCCTAGCGGAGGCACGGTGCGGAAAGCATGGTTGAGGCAGCTGGCGCAAAGCTCGCCACTCGGTCTGCAGTCGGTACCCCCCCCTTTGACCGCACGCTTTCCCGCCTGCAGGCACGTGTCACTCGTTTCCTACCTAGGACCTCGCTGCCTTGGCCGGGGGCACGCTCTGCTGCGGCATGTCGCTAAGGCCGCCAGGGCAGGCGACTCTAGCCGTATAAGATGGACGGTGCTGTTTTTGGGCCTTCGCTGGCTTCCGGTTGCAACAGCCGTGCTGGCGACGTTCTGCTGCACCGCAACCGAAAGGAGTCGGTGGCCTAGCGCAACCGGACTCGGTGTGCCGGGTACGCGCAGGGAACTGATGTTAAGCGAACCACGTCACTGAAGTCACAGGCATCCGTTCAGCAGGAATGTTTTTAAATGAAGCGGCATAGACAATCTTGTTCTGACTAGCTCGTCTTGAGCCAGTAAGTTACAGCAATCACATTCTAATTACAGCAGTGCATGCTGAGCAGTCTGACTTTCACATGTGGGCCAAAGACCCGAGTTGATGCATAATTATGCTGTGTTTGATACGAATGCGTGCTGTCACACATCGGCCCTTCGACGAGGGTTCACAGTACGGGCCCTTAGGACCGTGAGCCAGCTACTCATGCACATGAGACGTCAGAGACGCCCATTTGCGAACGGAACTTGTGAAAGGCTTGTCGTGCCATCGGCTTTGTATGCAAATCTTCATCGCTGTCATCTGTATCTACACGTTCTACAGCACAGGCTTCCTGAATGGCATCGCCAATGCATCCGAAACAAATATGTTGGGTTTTCTTGAAATATCTCATCTTGCGGCTGTAGCCGCTTTTCATTGCAGCACGTGCAGCATCAGAATCTGTGAGCAGGGCACAAGGCACTGGGCTGCCCACAACGGTATCTACCACATCCAACACGGGCAGTAAGCTTTGCAAACATTCTGCACCAGCGACCGTCTCGGCCTCGCCAGTCGATTTCGCTGTGGACTGCTGGCGTCGGGATGCCCAATCAATCAATGCATGTGTCGAGCCATCAGGACTGGATAAGTGTACATTCCATCCTGATGTGCTGCGGGCTGTGTCCAAGCACCCCCTATGATCGGCGTCAACGAACGCCTTCACCATCATGCCAGAGAGGTTGGAACGGCGAAGTCTCCAGACAATGCCATAGTTGAGAGTGGACTCCAAGTATTCAAACAAACGCTCATTGGCCTTTCAGCTGCAAGCGTTTTGAAACATACCGGCCTAAGAAACCCGTAGCAAGCATCATATCGGGGCGCGACAACCTAGTTAAGAAAAACAACCCACCTAGATGTACAGCTGCGTCTGTCTGCTTGGAAGGCAGATGAACGTACTCGGGCTCAGG